GGCATGTCTGCGGACTTATATTGCTAGAAACCGGGCTTCGATACCCATGGTGGGTAGAGCACAGATAGCTCTTTGTGTAGCTTTGTGCTTAAGAACAACAACCTTATAATATGATTGTTTCGTGTCGTATGTTTAGAAACGTCGTATTATCATGCTATTTTTAAATGACCTTGCAATGAAATGATATCATTTTATAAGTTGAACATTATGAAGATATTACTACAGAGTTTACCGATGAGCTGCGTTTTAATAAATTATTATGATGAAGTTAACATATTGTACACTAATGGTTTAATTGTCTTACATTTTGAGTTACTCGTTTGTTCATACCAAAAATAGAATAAAGTTAGCATTGGAAGAAATGGGATTTCCAATTACACCTATACTAAATTCCTTCGCCAATATAAATTACAATATTTTTATTGTAGTACTTGCATTAGTTTCTCGGTGCTATTCTTAAAAGTCTTCCTTTGCTGGAAAGGTATTTAAACTCTTCCATTACCAGCAAGCTACCGGTGTCTTAGAATTATTCTCTTGTTGGAAAAGTATCAAAATATCTTAAAACACTTCTGTTGTTAGAAATTTATCAATGTCTTAATTAAAGCTCTTCCGCTATTAAAAAAGTATCGTGTCTCAAAGATCTTCAGCTGCTCCGAACGTACAATCTATTAAAACACTTCCGTTGTTAGAAAGGTATCAATGTTCTAAAATTATATTGCTACTAGGAAGATTGTTGTTGTTTTTTAGCACAAAGTTACGTAATTGACTATATGCACACTGTTCACCATGGGGAATCAAATCCAAGATTTTAGTGTTATAAGTCGGTAAATATTCCGCTGACCCACCGGGGAAAACAAAGAAGGTTCAAAATATTGAGCAATAAATTCATCAGTAAATCACCCAACATATTTTTTCCTAAACCCACAGAACGGTTCCACGGCAGAAGGTTATAAAGGGGGAACTAGTGAATTTTGTTAAAGCCACAGAACGGTTCCACGGCACAAGGTTATAAAGGGGAACTAGTGTTTTTTTGTTAAAACCACAGAATGTTTCGACGCCACAAGGTTATAAAGGGGGAACTAGTGATTTTTGTTAAAGCCACAGAGCGGTTCCACGGCACAAGGTTATAAAGGGGAACTGGTGATTTTTGTTGAAGCCACAGAACGGTCCCACGGCACAAGGTTATAAAGGGGGAACTAGTGATTTTTGGTAAAGCCACAGAATGGTTCCACGGCACAAGGTTATAAAGGGGGAACTAATGTTTTTTGTTTCTATAATTACCTCTTATTAACGTTTTTTTAATGGCAACTTCATATTATGTTCTAGATTTCCATGTGGTACTGTTATGAAAAATAGCATTCCACAACTGTATGAACAGTCGCGTTAGGAGAGACCTCTTAATGTTGTTTGAACTACTAATATTAATAGATGGTAATCTTAATCACTCATTACTCGGAACTTTATACTGGGATGGTGTGACAAAAAAGTTCTCGAAACGCATATGATATATATCTATATATATATATGCTTTTCTTCTGAACTGAATAGGTTATATGAAATGTATTTGTCAGTGATATGTTTGCATGAAAAACGCGTTTCCGCTCTTTTTTCGTTTACTGGCTTATACTTCCTTGGCCCTAGGGTATCATGGGATTGGAAACACAGTATAAAAAGAGAGTCACCGAAGTAAACAACTGGCTACTATATTGCTTTACCACTGGCGATTGCGTGATTCTTTTCGAACTGAGCAGATACTTGAAGTAGAAAATTCCTGTAGTTGGCTAGGGTTGCATTTACTTGGCCACGTTCTTCAATCGATAGCTGTTGACGACATTTGCTACAACAGAGACCGCGCGGGAAAGAGCGCGTGTCAGATAGCTTGTGCAGCTGGCTCGTGAAGTCGATCGTAACGACCATTTGATAATCGGAAAGAATTTTTCCGTTTCTGGAATCATCAGCAACGATGTTTAGACGGGTTTTGTGGTTTGCATTCCTCTCCCTAACCTGGTCCGGCGGATATTTGTACGTTATCAACGCCACTGAGGGGCGAATTACAGAAACCGGAATCAGTAACGGTTCAGACCCGATACTCGTACCGATTCAAGACGGAACAGATTCCGATGTGAATAATACTTCTCCTGTTGATGAACCAGCAGAAAACTTAACGAATGTGTCTGCTATAGACAATGAACTTACTGACCAACTGACAACCTTAATCTACCAAGACGACACTCAGACCTCCGACTGCCACATGACCACGCAGAGTCAGCTGACGGTCATCAAAAGTAGTTCATTTCCCAACAACTACGGTCCTAACTTAGACTGTTTGTACACGGTCCGCCGGAATTCCTCCAGGTGGTGTTACGTGACTTTCCTTTTCAACGTATTGGATTTGGAGGCAAGCGAAGGATGTGGCAAGGACTACATTGAGTTGGCCGGAGAAAGATTATGTGGCTACAACCCGTCAGGGGTCACTCGTCGTAAGTTTAAATCAACTTCTGAATTATTGTAGGGTCTTTTTTTATATAATCAAGTCACTAATATAAATGTTTAAAATGCAACTGATATTAGGCATATTGTCACATGTAATTCTCGCGAACTGTTAACAGCTAATTGTACATTATTTTCCAATCACACATCGCAACTATTAACTTTCAACTATAATAAAAACTCGGTTCACAGTATTTACTCTAAGAAAAAACCGGAATTACACGTTCATTAGGTGTTCGTGCTATATATAACCTGACATAAACTTTACGACTTAAAATGTTGTACTTGTAACTTAATATACAACTTTGTGACTTAAGATATTGTAACTGTAATCTGAAATAAATATTTGTGACTTAAAATGCTGTAATTCTTAACTGATATAAAAATTTTGTAGTTTGGCTACAAATTGACCTAATCCGGTCATGGACCAGTCCAGTACACTAACCACGGACCACATCTGGGACGAGATATTTTGACGAGCACGGATTTCATCTTTAATGCCTGTAGAGAACATCTGAGTTTGAATATCTGAATTTGAACAACTGAGTTTGAATATCTGTGTTTTAACTTGAATAGTTTTCAGCGTTTTGTAAGCAATTTCAGTTTCCAGTAGTTTACACTCGAATAAAATACACATTTAATTTCGACAAAATGTTTCTGTTCAAAAGTTTTATTTTGTTCAAAAGTAATAGGAAACTCTGTCTGTCGAAATTTTAAGCAAGTAAGTACATACTACCGTTCACTAAATTTCCGTTAGTTGCCTTTCGGCTGTTAAGAGATTTTCTTAATTTTCGCAAACTAATCCGAGACCCGTATGTGCACGAAGATAAGAAACAGATAAACTTGCTTCGACTCGGTTTCTAGCCTTTCAGCAATTCAGTAAACACTCATCTGTAAAATGTTCATCCCTAATTTAACTTAATGCACTCACCGGCTGTCTTGGTTACTGAATGACAACCTTAGTTACTTGTGTATTGAGCAGTCGTATATTTAATTCAGTCTCAAGCAGCCTTAGTTACTGAATGACAACCTTAATTGCTTGTGTATTGTACATTCCTAGATTTAATTCAGTCACCTTAGTTACTGAATGACAAACTTAGTTACTTGTGTATTGATCAGTCGTATATTTAATTCAGTCACAAGCAGCCTTGGTTACTGAATGACAACCTTAATTGCTTGTGTATTGTACATTCCTAGATTTAATTCAGTCACCTTAGTTACTGAATGACAAACTGAGTTATTTATGTACTGAGCAGTAATAGATTAAATTCAGTCACCAGCAGCCTTGGTTATTGAATGGAAACCTTAATTACTTATGTATTGAACAGTCATAAACTTAATTAAATCACCCTCAGCCTTTACTTTACTTTCCAGAACAACTCACTAGATGTTTATGTACTAAACATTCGAAATCAGTCACCAGAAAACTTTCCCTAATCTTTCTGAACAACTCATTTTTTACGTAACACTGTTGTCATTCGGTTAAATCCAGTCAATAGTGGCCTTTATTTTATCTTCCTGAACAGCAGAGAATCCAACTCTCCATATCTTAATGAAGAAATATCTATCGGACGATCTTTTATTATAAGAATAAAGATCGAACTTTTTGTACAGGAATATCGAAGGGTTTTTGTAAGAACATCTACGAATGTTTTAATGAAAAATTCAGACTCTTAATGTTAAAATAATAGTTAAATTTTAGTGAGAATATCTATCGAAGTCTTAATTTAAGAATAACTAAGAAATTTATCAGTTTAAAACATAGATTTTGACTATTAATACAAAAATAATTATCCTATTCTTAGTGTAAAATTAGCTATCCATCTCAGGTTAAGCCTAAATATCCAACTCTTAGTGTAATGTTAAGACAGCGGAAGTCATGCGACGCTGGGAGCATGCGCGCTGGAGTTTCTAGAAAGATCATGACCTATCGGAGAACCTCGCGAACGTCCCAGTGTTTGCTAGACGCCCTCTTTTTTAATGTATAAGCCAGCGAAAGATAGAATTGCAGAGATAGGCAGATAGATTGGAGATAGAGATAATTGAGTCAAGCGAACAGTAGGCACCG